CCATTCTCCAAGCTTCCTTACCATTATGTTAAAATAGAAAATAGAAGCAATCAAACAGGAACATCCACCTATGCCTGGTAATAAATATGAAAATCTACAGGCATCTACAAAAACATATCTTCATCTTCCCATTCTTTTTCTGTCCTTCTGATTACAACAAAGGAACTCACACTACTTCTGCTTATGGCTAAATTTTCCAGCTTTCCCTTATGAGCTTTGAATCTCATCAACCGGCTTTCTCTGGAAACTTAGAGATCTATTTTCCTTTCTCTTTTTTGTTTGGTCAAAACATTACTTTTGAAAGTAATCACTTTATGAGAAAGACAAAGTAGACAACACCTTCTGCAAACACCATTGTTTTATTTTCAATCTATTTCTTTCTTTGAATTTAAAATGTATCACCTATAGGTAGCATACAGGTGGTTCTTCTATTTTTTTCCAGTCTGACAACCTCTGACTTTTGATTGGATTATTTAATCTATTTATATTTAGTGCCATTTCACTTTTTGTTTTCTATATTTCTCATGCTGTTTTTGCTTCTCCATTCCTCCTTTACTGTTTTCTTTTGGAATACGTGAATATTTTCTAGTATAACTTTTAATAATATTTTTAGTATTTCTTGAGTTATTTCTTAGTGTTTGCTCTAGAGTTTATAACACATGCCTAAACTTAGCAGTGACACCTTCAGATTTGTACCAACATAATTCTAATGATAGGAATATTTTACTTCTATATAGCTCTATTCCCTTTTTCCCCTTTTTGGCTATTATTGTTATATTTTTTGCAACTCTTTATGTTACAAATTCCAAAATAAATTATCATAACTATTACTTTATATGTTCTTTGTTGTTGTTAGGAGCTCGTCAAATCGATTCCGATTCATGGTGACCCTATGTATAACAGAACCCTATGCCCAGTCCTGTGCCATCCTCACCATCCTTGCTTAAGCCCCTTACTTTATGTAGATTTACGTAACTAAAGAGACTGAGAAAAAAAAAAAGGAAGTATGTATTTGTAGTGTTTACTGAGTTAACCTCCTTAGTTACCTTTTCTGGTTCTCTTCGTTTGTTCCAGTGGATGTGTGCTACCACCAGGTGTTATTTCCTTACTTCTACACAGCTTCCTTCCTACATGCCTTTGCTGTTATTGTCAAATATATTTCATTTCTACATTTTGTAGGCCCAACCATAAATCATACACATATTATTTTATATAGTTGCTTTTATAAATCAGTTAAAAAAAGAAATATGCATTATACAGTTTTTTATAGTGGTTCAGTGGTAGAATTCTCACCTTCATGAGGGAGACTCGAGTTTGAGTTCCGGCCAATGCAACTCATACACAGCTACCACCCATCTGTCAGTGGAGGCTTGTGTGTTGCTATGATGCAGAACAGGTTTCAAAGGACCTGCCAGATTAAAATGTACTAGGAAGAAAGGTGATCTACTCCTAAAAAACTTTATGGGTCACAATGATCTGATCCACAACTGATCATAGTGATGGTGCAGGACCAAGCAGCATTTCATTTTGCAGTGCATGGAGTTGTATGAAGTCCAGGTCCAAGTTAAAGGCAGCTAACAACATCAATGAGTCTCATATGAAACTATCAGCTTATGCGAAGGGGAAAAAAAGTAATGTATTCTTATTGAAGGAAAAAAAATTAAGAAATAGGAAATAAATCAGTGACAATGGCCCATTTAAAAATAGAACTTGTTACTTGTTGCTCTGGTTCTGACATCATTTATGAGTTCATGGTTAGCTGGTAAACTACTATAGGGAATAAAGCTATGTCATTACAGTCAGCCATGGTTATATCTTTATCTTTTGCTCTTTAAGCATTTTTTTTTTCCTTCCTTCTGACAAATGCTCACCAAATCTAGCATCTCAAATGATTCTGATACACAGTCTTCTTTTGTAACACATGATTTGGGTATGATGATGTTATGACTTGTGAAATAAAACCTCAACTTTTCTTTCACTTTTTTTCATATTGCTTGCATAAGCATACTAGTTCTTACAAAAATAAAGCTTCTATCCCCATAATCCCTCTGAATCACACTTTTTTTTTCATCTTGATGCTTTTCTTACTAGTATATTAATAAATCTGACATGTCCTCAACACAAACTCAACTAAAAAAATTACATTTTATTTACTTGTTTATTTTTGACATTACACATAGTTAAAATGTTCATACAAGTTCTGGAGGTCCAGGGCTTGCAGCCCAATTCAGAATTTCAGACAGGATTTTGACATAGATCTTAAGCAGTTTGATCCCTGGCATGAAAACTTCAAAATCCATGGTCAGCATTTATCACGTCATACATTAGTAAAAAAGCTGCGGCCAATCATTTTTGTTAAGTTACCAAACACATCTATTGTGATGGACGTGCAACGTTTTCACAGAAGCATTATAATACCAAAATTTAATGAAAATCTTAACAATGGTATGTATAAAGTTCCCAGCCAAAGCAGTAAATGGTATTTAAGTTTAACTACACTGACTGCATTTCTGCTTTATGATGTCATAGGCTCTATTTGCCATACATTCTATTTGACATATATTCTATATTTTTAATACAGCTGTTATGTCCTTCAGGTGTGCCTCTTTTACAGATTAAACATTCTCACATCAACTTGACCACTTTATTTGACTTTTTTGTTTTTTTTCTGGACACCTGGCTCATGTGGGTACTACCTTCTTAACATAATAGTGTTTATTTCTGACCTCTGAAACATCTTGCTATCAATTAACACAACATCATTGGTTTTATTTGACCAGTGTGAATTTAAATGGAATCATTACTTCAATTAGCTAGGGTATTAGACTAATTTTATAATGAGAAGCATGACTCCCCATATTTAATAGAGTCATGTAAAGTATGTTGTGCATGTTAGTTGACCTTTAAGTAAATGAATCCAAAAAATTTTACACACTAATATTAAGCCATTTATATACATTTGTTTCCTATCTAAATATGGGACTTTATCTCTTCATAGGAAGTGCTGGTGGTATAGTGATTAAGAGCTATGGATGCTAACAAAAAGGTCAGCAGTTTGAATCCACCAGGCGCTCCTTGGAAACTCTGTGGGACAGTTCCATTCTGTCCTATAGGGTGGCTATAAGTCGGAACTGACTCCATGGCAATGGATATCTCCTAATAATACCTCCTTATTGTTTTTGGTTTATTATTTGCATCTATGTGATTCTTGCATTCCTTTACTTCTTCGAACTTATTTGTTTACTTTTTCAGTTTTGTAATGTTTCCATGTTTTGTAAACAAGTCTCTATTTTGGCCTCATCTGATTGCCAATTAATATACTGAGCAGAACCTAACCTAGTGGTAATATTTCAAATTCCCTTAATTAACTTTAACAGATTTATTATTCAAAAAAATTGAGCAAAGACAAAACATTAATTGATAACGGTGCATATTTGGGAAGGGTGTAACATCAAACATCCAAGTGAAAATAAAAAAGATTGACAAATTAGAAAAATAAAAAACAATATAGAGATACTATAGAAAAGAGACAAAAAGACTACTACATTTCATAAAAGAAGGTTTGACAAATATTGTCAAATGTTAAGGAGTCAGATAAAGAAATCACATTATATATAATAATTAACAGTTTCTCATTTCTTTAAAGCTAAATTTCTTTTCAGTTAGAGAAAATTTTTTTTCACATAAATACATTGAGCAATAAGCAAGGGAATGTGAGAACAAAAAATATTTTACTACAAGTAATTATGAGTTAGAGAAAGTATCCAAATTTACATAAAACACATATGCAATGAATTAAAATGGACCCAGCATCACGAAGCAGTACCAGCTTCCAAAGATGGCAATACCTGTAGACCTTATAAATGAAATTAATCAGATTGAGGACAGCTGAGTAAGAAAGCAGAGAACATGGTTGAAGTTAAGACATGCTGAAAAACCTAAACTTCGGAACAAGCTTATTTTGTCTCCAAAACATTGTTTCTAACTCTGTTTTACACTGGAAGCAACATAAAATTACTATTTAATGTGCAAAATTTTGATCAGTAGATGATTCCCTTAGAATATACTTTGTAAGTAAAACCTTTGATACTGACCTCCATGTCAATAGTGCTTAATGTTAATATCGAGATTAATTTTAATTGCTTTTTATTGACAATCGAGAGATTATCTCTATGAAGAAGAAACTCATGAACCTAATAAAGAATATGAGTCATATGCATCCATTGAAGATTGATCCACCTCCTTCAACATATATGTCTCTTGAACTCTTTATAACAGCTGAGTCTGTTGTATGTGCTTGTTTTTGTTTTTGGTGTGTATGTGTGTATGTGTGTGTTCACCTGAATATTTGTATGTGTATACGAGTCCAGAAGAAAGTAGAAAAAGTGTTTACGAAATTTTGAGGAGAAAGGTAAGAAATGGAAGGAGTGTTGTAATTGTTGCATTCAAATTAGTCAGCAGTGTTCTTGACAGAAAATTTTTGCACAAACTCTGGCTTATTTTTTAATAAGTGTATGTGTGTATGGATATGGAAAGATAGATAAAAAGTCAAAAGTTTAGAGCTGTAATAAAACTATAGCCCTGAAATTTGATTTAAGCATCTCCTCCAGACCTATATCAATAAATTAAAAAAGGAACATCCATTATTACTTTAAAGCATTTATGAAATGTGTGTTATATAGCTAACACTTATCTCAGAAGAGGTAAAAAGAGATTGAAAGGATGTTTCAAAATATTTTACATGATTAGTTCCCTATGATATTGTGACTTTTGTTTCAACACTTCCTCTTCTTTTATCCACAGCCAAGACTTCATTGTAAAGAAACTCTGCTTTTAAAGACCTGGTGAGGGTATAGAATGATTATAAAATGGCCATCTAATTTATCTTATCCCTAATTGGTACAGATACTTGAGTAGTAACAGAATGTGTTGTCTTTGAAAATATTCTAATGAAAACCTTGTGTTTGAACTAGCCTTTGAAAGTTAATTAAATATTCTGTTTAGTTCAGAAAATTAACCAGGCAATCACAGAAATGAAAGATTCTTTTCCTATTAATCAAACTCCATAAAGCCTTCTTTACTTCCCTATTCCTGAGGCTGTAGATCAGAGGATTCAGCATGGGGAGCACCACTGTGTAGAACACGGAAGCCACTTTGTCCTGATTCAAGGAGTAGCTAGAATTGGGTCTCAGATAAGTATAGATGGTGGTTGCATAGAACAGAATTATAGCAGTCAAGTGGGAGGCACAAGTTGAGAATGCTTTGCGCCTCCCCTGCCCTGAATGCACACGAAAGATGGAGAAGAGAATATAGGAGTAGGAAGTGAGGATGACCAGCAGAGTTCCAGCCATATTCACACCAGCAAAAGTGGAAATAATGCTTTCATTCAGGAGTGTGTCAGAACAAGAGAGCTTAAAAAGAGGAGGGCTGTCACAGAAGAAGTGATGAATGATATTGGAAGCACAGAACGGTAAGCTGCTTACATAACTTGTGTTAACCATGGAGTTCAGCAATCCTGCTGTAAAGGCCCCAGCTGCCATTTTAAGGCAGACTGTCCTGGACATGATTAAGGAGTAAAGGAGTGGGTTACATATGGCCACATAGCGGTCATAGGCCATTAACCCAAAGAGGATGCATTCAGTTGTTGCCAGGGCAATAAAGAAATACATCTGCAAGAAGCAGCCAGCAAAGGAGATGGTTTTCTTCTCAGACATTAAATCTACCAGCATCTTTGGGGTGATGGTGGATGAGTAGCAAACATCCACAAAGGACAAGTTAGCCAGGAAGAAATACATGGGTGTGTTTAGTCGAGAATCCATCCTGATTAGCAGGATCATCCCCACATTCCCCAGAACTGTGAGTATGTAAATCACAAAAAATAGCAAAAAGAGGATGATCTGTAGCTCCAGGGAGTCTGTTAATCCTAACAGGATGAACTCAGTCAGTGAGGTATAGTTTTTTCTGGTCATTTATTACAAATACGATTTGTTTAAATTTTGTATTATGTTTAAATAGTTTACTCTCCAAAACTTTACAGGAAGAAGTAGAAATATTAATGAGGACATTCACATATGGTGGGAAAAAGATAACCTAGGATAATATAGTATAGTAAATGGAATTAATGAAATGAGAGAAAATCAATAGAGGACAAATGGAAAATGTATTTGATTTTAACAAGCAATTATCTGTAACAAATCTGGGTTGTAAGCCTTTAAAATCACTTCTCTAAGTCCCCAGATTCTTATTGTGTTTTTGAAAATGCAATATATATATTTCTCATTCTTTTATACCAGTCCACCATCAAATGCAAAGGATAAAAATATTCTTGCTGAAGTCTTTCCAATTCTCTGAACAACTGCATGGACTTAATTCAAGGATAATATTTTCTTTCCCTTAAAACTACTATGTGCAATCTTTTCCAAAATTCATGCATTGCCTCTAGAAATAGCTTTTGTGTAACCCTCAGCAGCAAAAATAGTAACACTTTCAGCTAAGCAATATTTTGGCATTCATTATATAGTCATGAAAAAATTTGTAATTTTGAAATGTGAACCAAATTGTTTTTTCTAGTTACAAAGCTGGTATAAATATCAAATTAGTGCCACGTAGCAGCAGACATGGTATCTGTCCATCTCGGGGAATGGCAGTACCAGATCCTTTGAACTTCCTTCCCAGATAGTGTCTTACCTGTGTAGTTTATCATTTTCTTTAATATTTGGAGGTCTCAGTTAGGAGTGAAAACATAACAAGATGAAAAACTTCATTTTTAGAAAATTCTGTGTTATGTTAAATTACCTCTTTGAGTTACCCTCTGAGTAAATACATGGTGAGACACTTTTATTTTGTTTTATCTCAGGAGGATTGTGGAACTATGGGGGCTGTCTGTAGGTATTAATTGTGATATCAATTCTCTAAAGGCAGGAACTCCAGTCTCAAAAGAAAAGAAAACATGACACTGAACATGAGAAAATATACTTCAAAGCTGTTGGTGTTCCAAATTATGTGGAGCTTGCATCATAAGGTGGTCTCTGATCTCTAGGTAATGTTAAAGTCTTTCACCAAAGTCAGATTCACTAATTTTAATTAATTAATTATATTGCCTCATTCTTGCTATTTTGAAATTATTCCAAAGAAATAAATTGCAAAATACCAAATTTGTATCTGCCCTTTAGCCAGTGTTTGTGTATGTGTGTTCTTTAATAAACATATTTATAATGGCTGCTTTGAAGTCTTTTGTCTATTAAGTCCAACATCTGAGCTCTCACACAAACAGTTTTGTTGTCTCCTTTTTTTCTGGTGTATGGCTTGCACTATTCTGTTCCTTTGCATGCTTCAATATTTTTTGTTGAAAACTGGACATTTTACTTTATTTAGTTATTTTTTACTGTATACGTGTTTTTTATTGTACTTCAGACAAAAGTTTACAGAGCAAACTACCTACTCATTAAACAATTAGTACACATATTGTTTTGTGACATTGGTTGCGAACCCCACAACATGTCAACACTCTCCTCTTCTCTATCTTCAGTTCCCTATTACAAGCTTTCCTGTCCCCTCTTGCCTTCTAGTCCTTGCCCTTGGGCTGGTGTGCCCCTTTACTCTCATTTTGTTTTATGGGCCTGTCTAATCTGTGCCTGAAGGGTGAACATCAAGAGTGGCTTCATTACTGAGCTAAAAGTGTATCTGGGGGCCATACTCTCGGGGTTTCTCCAGTCTCTGTGAGGCCAGTAAGTCTGATCTTTTTTTGTGAGTTAGAATTTTGTTCTATATTTTTCTCCAGCTCTGTCTGGGACCCTCTGTTGTTACCCCTGTCAGAGCAGTCAGTCATGGTAGCTGGGAACCATCTAGTTGTACTGGACTCAGTCTTGTGGAGGCTCTGGTAGTTGTCGTCCATTAGCCCTTTGGTTCAATCTTTCCTTTGTGTCTTTGGTTTTCTTCATTCTCCCTTGCTTCAGATAGGATGAGACCAGTGGAGTGTATCAGACAGCTGCTCACAAGCTTTTAAGACTCCAGACACTACTGACCAAAGCAGAATGTAGAACATCTTATTTACAAATTATGTTATGGCAATTGAGCTAGATGGTCTCTGAGACCACGGTCCCCACAGCCCTCAGCCTAGTAATTTAATCTCTCAGAGAATTTGGATGTGTCTATGGAGCTTCTATGACCTTGCCTTGGACAAGTTATGCTGGCTTCCTTAATATTGCATAATGTCTACTCTTCACCAAAGTTACCACTTATCTATTGTCTAGTGATTTTCCATCCCCACCCCTTCCCTCGCTCATAACCATCAAAGATTTTTCTTTTTTGTGCAGAAACCTTTTCATGAGTTTTTAAAGTAGTGTTCTCATACAATATTTGTACTTTTTTGATTGCCTTGTTTCACTCAGCATAATGCCGTCCAGATTCATCCATGTTGTGAGATGTTTCACAGATTCATCATTGTTCTTTATCATTGTGTAGTACTCCATTTTGTATATGTACCATAGCTTGTTTATCCTTTCATCTGTTGATGGACATCTAGGTTGTTTTCATCTTTCTGCTATTGTGAACAATGCTGTAATGAACATGAGTGTGCATATGTCTATTCTTGTTGGGCTCTTATTTCTCTAGGACATATTCCTAGAGGTCGGATTGCTGGACCATATGGTATTTCTATTTGTAGCTTTCTAAGGAAGTGCCATATTGTTTTCCAAAATGGTTGTACCATTTTTGCATTCCCACAGAAGTGCATAAGAGTTCCAATCTCCCCGCAGCCTCTCCAACATTTGTCATTTTTTGTTTTTTTGATTGTGCCAGGAATGCCGGAGTGAGATAATATCTCATTGTGGTTTTGATTTGGATTTCTCTGATGACTAGTGATCACGAGCATTTCCTAATGGAACACTGGACATTTTAGATAATATGTTGTAGCGATTGCGGATACTTACCCCTCCTGGGGCTTGCTAGTTTTGTTTGCTTGTTTACTATTAGTGACTTGTTTGGGCAATATTAATGAAGTCTATTTTTCCTCCAGTATGAAGGCTCTGCTGTTGCTCCTTACAGGGCACAGCCAGGGCATATGCTCAGTTACCCTGGCATGATGGTTATCAGAACTTTCTTTGACTATTCTTTCCCTGATCTCTCTGTTAAGCTGTTGGCCAATCTCTCCATCATACTCAATTGTTAGACTTCACAAATTACCAAATGATTGCTCTATTGTTTTTAACAATGTCCTGGGACACAAATTCCTCCACAGTTTCATTCAATTTAATTTGGTCCCCTTTGCAGGAGTAGCTATGAAGGTCAGTCTTTGAGATTGTTCTGAACCCAGAATTACTCTTCTTAAGTATATCTTTCCCTGATTCTGTCTGGTAAACTAGCTGCCCTGTAATTTATCTGTTGCTCTCATGAAGCTACCAACCTCCTCTTAGTTGCTTACCACCAGAATCTATTTTGTTCCTGATAACACTCTCAGGAATGCACTTCCCCACATTCTATTCCAAATAAATTCAATTCCTTTGAGGAGAACTTTGGAGCTTCCTGTTCTTATGGCCTGCCTTTCTCTTTGGGCAAGAAAGAGAGTCCACAGCTTGGAGTAGGGACAATAGTACACTTCTCTTAGAGTGACATCCCTACTTTACAAGCATGATGCTGAGCTGGGGTCGCAGCCTCTGGTCTTCTAATCTTACCTCTCCCATTGTGAAACCTCCACCTTAAAAGTCAGCTGGGAAAGTTGTTTGAGTCCTCAGTATTTTTCATCCACCAAATCTGGGATAGAGTTTCCACCTTATAAGTGTGGATTGGGTGGCGAGAAGAAGGGAGTCCCTAACTTCTCTGACTCACTCATCTGGAATATAGTCTCTGTGACTTGTAGCTGGTGAGAATAAAAAGTGGTGGTAGTCTGTCACTTCCAGGAAGATACCATTGACCTTGTCTGGGAATTGAGTAGGGAGAGAGTCCAATATTCATGGCCACACCTACCAAGAGTAGAGCTTCTATTATAAAGAGTTGGAAGAGAGGAAGGTCAGGAGTGGCTCATGGCTCACAAACCACAAACTTTCACTGTTTCTACCAAGGTTTAGTACATTTTTTTTTTCCTGAATAAATGTTTCCTCATTTGTTTTGTATTCTTTGGGCAACTTACAGAGACTTTAAATGGTTGTGATTGTATAATCTTATCAGTTATTGTATTTTGCTGGGGACCAGGTCTGTGGAGTTTCTTAAGCTATCATTCTAGAACAAGACCCTCCAACATGCAATTAACTTCATGATTTCAATATACTTGAGAGAAACTGCAGGACAAAGATGTGGCAGTCTGTTTCCGTAAAGATTACAGCCTTGTAAACCCCATAGGCTGTTCTATTCTGTCCTATAGGGTTGCTATGAGTTGGAATCAACTCAACAGCAATGGGCTTGGCCTATGTTAAGTCTGAGACTCTTTGAGTGGCAAAAACGGTTAAGTGCTCAACTAGTAGCCAAAAGTTGAGTGATTAAAACCCACCTAAAGGCAACTCAGAAGACAGGTCTAGCATTCTGCTTCCAAAAGGTCACAGCCTAGAAAACCCTATGGAGCAGTTCTACTCTGCACACATGAGATGTCCATGAGTCAGAATTAACTCATCAGCACTAACAACAACATATTAAGTCCATATTTGTAGTGTGAGAGTAGAGTGAGAGCTGAGATTTCAAGTCAATGTAGAAAAATAATCTTTCATTTTTCTTTGGAACTTGAACTTCAAAGGGCTGAGTTCCATTTGTTGACATACACAATAGGTAGTGCGTTTTCCAGCCATTAGAAGATATTTACTGTCACTGGTAGCTTAGAACTTACTTAAAGATAGTTCAGTCTACTTTAAGTCAAAGGGTTAGAAATAATAATTGATGTATAACTAGGCAACTGGACAAGGTTCCAAGGAGACTTATCAATTGTATTAAAAAAAAAAACACACACATTAAGTGTGAGAAGGTATATTCAGTTACCAAAAGT